CACCAACAGAAAACCACAGGGAGCAATAAAACTCCCAGCAGATAATAGAAGAAGTGTTAACAGAACAATAAATAATACTGTGAGCAACACAAGGAATACAAAACAGCTCTTCAGTAGCACGCAGTGCTTGAATTATATTGTTTGCCCTTTTCACATGGACAGAGGTCTGGAAAGACTGGGATATTTGCATGGCTCTAGAAATGGAGGGGGGCTGTTGTTGTTGTTGTTGTGTGCCTTCAAGTTGTTTCTGATTTATGGTGACCCTAAGGCAAACCTATCATGGGGTTTTCTTGGCAAGCTTTGTTCAGAGGGGGTTTGCTATGGCCTTCCCCTGAGGCTGAGAGAGTGTGACTTGCCCAAGGTCACCCAGTGGGTTCCATTCTATTACATAATTTCTAATATACTAGGCTCACTCCATAAGGTAGCAAAGATATTAACAAAATCACAGGACAGTGAATATATATTTTTTAATTTATTATGTGTCACTTTGTAGTTTACTACTGCATCTTTTATCTGTACCTTGTATCCCTTTTTAAAACCTTGCTGGTCATTGACCGAATAAAATGTATGTATGTATGGTTGAGCTGGGAATTGAACCCTGGTCTCCAGTCATAATCCAATGCTCAAAACACTATGTAAGTACATAGGAACCCTGAATATGAACCAATTATGAATGTGTAACTCCTAGTTATGCAGTCGTAACTGCGATCTTAGTCTCAGTTCCAACGCTCAGACCACTACGCCACGCTGAATTCAAAGCCATAGGTAGGTTTGCCTTAGGGCTGCCAGAGGTCAGAAAGGACTTGAAGGCACCCAACAGCCACCATGATGCAAAATGCAGTTAATCCTTCCTCCGGCAGAGGGTGATGCCAGCCATGCAAGCGGCTGCTGATGGGAAGGAAACTCCGGGCAACTTGCGGCAGGAGCCACATCTCCAGGGAAGGAAGGCAGGGATGGGTGACATCATGTTCTATTTCTGGATCTGAGCAAATGCGGGGCTTGGAGCTGAGACAGAGAAGGAAGCACAATGAATGCTCATTCCCTCACAGAGTTGGGGGGGGGGATGAGGGAGAATGCAGTCAGGGGCCGCCTTTAATTTGCAGAGGAAAGGCCTAGTATGCATGGAGCTAGCCAAGTCTAGAAAAAGAGGCTGCCTGCAAGTTAGGTTTCGTGTGTCCTGCATGTGCATTTACAGATATGGATGCACACAGAGAAAGAGAGCACAACACAGGGGGGCCATGAGTTGGAAATGACTTGAAGGTGCACAACAACAACAACAACAACAACAACAAGGGCCCCAAAGACTTCCAAATGAACCTGCAAATGGCAGCAGCCTAGGATTACTCAGGAAGGTCTCTCCTTCAGTGGGTTGTTATTGTTGTTGTTGTTGTTAACTGCCCTTGAATCGATCTTGACTCATGGCGACTCTATGGATGAGATCTCTCCAAGAAGACCCTCTGTCCTCCCCTGCTCTGCTTAAATCCTGCAAACCCTTAATAAATCCCCAAAGGGACCTCCTTAATAATAGAGTCCCTCCATCTGGCAGACTGTGGCCTTCCTCTCTTCCTCCTTCTCTCTACCTTTCCTAACATTATTGTCTTTTCCAAAGAGTCCTTTCTTCTCATGATGTCTCCAAAGTAGGACACCCTCAGTTTGATCATCTTGGCATCTTCCAGGGAGGTTTCTGGCTTGATCTGCTCTAAGACCCCTTGGTTTGTCCTTTTGGCTCTCCATGGGATCCTCAGCATCTTCTCCAGCCCCACATTCTCTCAAATGCATTGGTTTTCTTCCTATCCTCTTTCTTGACTGTCCAGCTCTCACATCCATTCATGGGAATAGGGAATACAATGACTTGTATGATTCTGACTTTTGTGCTGAGTTGTATATCTTTGCATTTTTGGATCTTTTCTATTTCTTTCATAGCCACCCTCCCCATTCTTAGTCTTCTTCTGATTTCCTGATTGCAGTCCCCATTTCTATCAATCTTTAATCCCAGGTATGGGAAGTCTTTTACTATTTCTATTTCCTCATTGTCTAGGTTGAATGTTCATAAGTTCTCTGTGGTCCTTATTTTTGTTTTCTTGATGTTCAGCATTAACCCTGCCTTTGCACTTTCTTCTTGGATCTTCCTTAGGAGGTGTTCCAGCTCTGTGATTACACTACTCCATTCAGCGGATAGCCAAAGTCAAACCTGACTTGAAAACACAGTAACAAGAAATCCAAATTATTCCCTCTCCCACCTGCATTGCAATCTCAAGTCTCCTCCCTAATGCATGTCATTGCAAATTGTTGTTGCGGTGTGCCTTCAAGTCATTTCAGACTCTTGGTGACCTTAAGGTGAACCTATCACAGGGGTTTCTTGGCAAGATTTATTCAGAAGAGGTTTGCCATTGCCTTCCTCTCAGGCTGAGAGAGTGTGACTTGCGCAGGGTCACCCAATGGGTTTCATTGTGGAGTTGGGAATTGAACCCTGGTCTCCAGAGTTGCAGTCCAACACTCAAACCATGATGCCACGCTGGCTCAAATTGCAAAATTGGTTGCAGCCATTATACGTTCATTCCCATCCTCCAAGCCAGGGGTAGGCAACCTAAGGCCC